TTTCTTTTGTCTTCCTTCCCTCAGGCAGAGGCATTTGATCCTTGTTGTGCCTCTCTTGATTCATTCATGTCTTTTTGGTTACACAAAATACCTACAGAGTTTATCCCAGGGGTAGAGCTTGATGGGAATTCAAATTTTCCGGTCTCGGTCGGGGGGGGGGTGGTAATCCTTCCTAATGACTTAAACAGACACAGAGTTCAACTTCTGTTAAAACAAAGGCTGAACATTTTAATGGGAGTTGCTGAATACATATATTTCGCCTCATCCTGAACTTTTGATTTCCTATCGGATTTCTCCATCTTATGAGTCACAAGGTAGAATTATATCATCAGCCCTATTTCTACCATTACATCGTACAGAGAGCCTTTTGCGTCAGTTCAGAAGATTACTCAGAAAGAATCCAAAGAGCACGTTATAAGCAAACAAGACATTTAAAGGGATAGTTCAATCAAAAATGAACATTCTGTCATTATTTACTTATACCTCAATTACCCGTATGAATTTCTTTCTTCTGTTGAACACAAAAGAATGTATTTTGAAGAATGTTGGTAACCAAACAGTTGGCGGTAGCCATTGACATCCATGATATTCTTTTGTTTAACAGAAGAAAGAAACTCAAACATGTTTGGAACATCTTAAGGGTGAGTAAATGATGACAGAAATTTTTTTTGGGGGGGGTGAACTATCCCCTTTAAGAGTAAAACGAATTCAAACATATATACTTGTAGTTTGCATTTTTATAAAAAAGTTTAATTGAAACATTTACTATGTTCCAAAGAGCATGTCAACCCTTCTTTGTTTTCAATATTTCAAATCCTTAATGTTCTGTTTACTACCAGGTTTAAACTGAATCCCATCTCTTCAATGTGACTCTTGAGCCCCGCTGTACACTGAGGTAATATTGGTCTGCTAGCTTTACAGAGTCCATATTTTTGTGTCATGCCAAAAGGATGTGATTAATTGTGTGTCTCCTGGCGAGGCTGTTAGACAGGAGAGAGTTAAGGGCACTCAGGTCTAATGCACTCTGACTGTACTGTCAACTCTATGCTAACACGCTATCTGGAGGCAACCAGAGCAGGACTCCAAATGTCAAGCACTGTTAAAGTAACTCCACATCCAGTGCTGCAGCCATGCTCTGAATCCTAATCTCTTTGTTTATTTGATTGCTTTTATATATACATTTTGGAACAAGTAAATTATGCTCATCTATCTCTTAAATATGGTCACAGATTTAAACATGAGTGTGAATGTTTGTGTATATCATATATATGTTTCAATTTAATGTAAACATACACATTTTAATAATACATTCAATTCTTTTATTCAGTGGTCTCAAAGGCAATATAATTTTTTCTTGCGTATTTCTAAAAGTGAGAGTTTTTAAAGATGTTCAGCTAATGTAATATCAATAAGAAAAGCATCACCAAGACATTTCATGTGAAAGCAGACATAGCCAGCAGGAAAAGTAGGAAATAGGGCATATAAATGCTTGGGTGGGCATTGTTCAGGCAGCCTGTCATGAGACCAGAATAGCTTCATCTCCAAGCACTTTGTAGGCAGCATTTTCCCCCCACAAGATGCACATTTTTATTTTGTAATTATTAATAATAATAATGTAAAACACAATAAGCTCCCATTGGTTAGCGTTAGTTATTGCATTATCTAACTTCAATTAACAATAAACAATACATTTGTTACAGTATATATTAATCTTAGTTAGTTAATAGAAATACAACTGTTCATTCCAGGTTCCGTTTTTTTGAGATTTATACATCATCTGAAAGCTGAATAAATAACAATAAATTGTTAGGATAGGACAATATTTGGTCGATATATAACCACTTGAAAACCTGGCATCTGAGGGTGCAAAAAAAAAAAAAAAAAAAAAATCAAAATATTGAGAAAATCCCCGTTAAATTTGTCCAAATGAAGTTCTTAGCAATGCATATTACTAATCAAAAATTAAGTTTTGATATATTTACCATAGGAAATTTACAAAATATCTTCATGGAACATGATCTTTACTTAATATCCTAATGATTTTTGGCATAAAAGAAAAATCGATAATTTTGACCCATACAATGTATTGTTGGCTATTGCTACAAATATACCCCAGCGACTTATGACTGGTTTTGTTGTCCAGGGTCACATATAATCTAGCATATATTATGGATACAGAGTTCTATATCACACACAAAACATTTTTAAATGCTGACACATTCCAAAGTTTTATTAGTCTGTATGGAGAGTGTCCCATTTCCTAGTACAGTAAAACAACTTTGAGGATTTATTTATTAACTGAACTGAAAATATGTCCTTGTGGCTGCTAACTTCAACTTTATTAATAGGGATCCTCTCCACCCTAATAAATCTTACTTTTCTTTAACATCACAGAAGGCAAACTACAGGTAGGTCAACCTCAAATGCATTTTCTGTATGTAGTTAAGCTTAAGATGTAAGATTAAAATGTTACACTATTAAATTGATGAAATATATTGACATCAAAATCTTTTTTGTCTGTGTGATGCACAGAATAAAAATAATCAATGTTATAACCCACACACTTGAACTGAACACTGATGAAAGCCCTTCTAATTGTGGATGCACTGTATTAATGTATTTAATACAGTTTCATATTGTGATTTTTCCAGTGCTGACCCATCAGAGGCTCTGTGTCAAATGCAGGCACACCCCATCAGCCCTGGTTAGTTGACTCTGGGCAGCAGGGCAATAAAGGCCAGCACATGGGGCCTGAATGACTGATGCTGAATTGTACTGCTTCAGCAGACCCTTACGCCCGTTGTTTCAGCAGGAACACAACAGGGGGATGGGATGTATAGTTAAGGATGTGTTTTATGCTTATATCCATTGGAAAGTTCATTTTGAATCGCAAAGCTGGTAAGTCATAATGGTTCAGTGTTTTTATTGGTTTAGACCCTAAAGGCATTTTTACATGGTTTAGTTAAGTGCATTGATTTTTTTTTTTTTTTTATATTATTTTCACTTTGTGGCATCGTCAATATGGTTTTTGCTGTAGATTTAATCTTTAGCCCGGCAAAGATTTCCTCATTATTTTTTCCCGGAGATGCTCCAGCGTTACGTAAAGCTTTTGAACAATCACGCTAATCAAATCATCTCCATGAGTGAGTTTGGACTTCAGTAGCTCTGCAATCTGCTACATAATGTGCCTTCAGAATCTGTAGATCTCATCTGGCAGAGCACGGCTCTGTCTCTCTGCTTTTATTCGCTCACGTGGTCTCATGTGCTGTTGGTGAACTATTAACATGCCCATTAAATACTTAATTACCTTCCCTGGGAAAAGCGGTTTTCTCAATCATGACGGCCCCATTAAGTTTAACTGGTTAGTGGCAGTGTTTTTCAACCTGTTGAGAATTGAAAATAAAAGACAGGCATGACAACAATGTATACAGAGCTCATTGTTTTCCATTGTTTGTTTATAACTGGTTATCTCTACTCGAATAGCTTTATTACCAGCTATTAACTAGTCAGGTTATCAATAGACATTTCACTTGAGATATGACAACACTCAGCTACTCTTTGATCATGCGCTCTCATGCAATATTGCAACTACACTTTGTTGTGCAAATTTGACACTTTTTTAGTCACTTTCCTTATCTCAACATTGATTCAGATCACATTTCAGACTCTGTTCATTAGTGATTTTGCTTGGTTTTAACCATAGTTCTTTCCTGTCACATTTATAATTGTATAAACTGACTTTGATCATTTCATGGATGGTGGTGGTGGAGTTGTTAGAAGATCAGGCTGAGCGATCAAAAGCTCAAGTCTCAATCACAGACAGACAGCTATAGTGGTTCCTATCAGATTAGAGCTAGATGGTTTCATTGGGAGGGGGAGACAGGTCAAAGACTATCTAAAGCTTTTATGGTCTATAAAAGCAACAAACTCAGCTTAGTGAGTGTGCTCAAAGGTCATGGGAATGCTCATTGTTTATACGGACAAACGTGGGTTTAAAAGCATGAAATAATTTTTGTTAAACAGTCAAGACAAAAGCATTTGGAAATGTAAGCCACATTTTTTTAAATAATGTATTAATTTCATTGCATTTAATAACATTTCAAGTGGCATCTGTAAACAAATGATGCTAGGCTTTTTCTTAGAACTAAGTTCACTTTTTAGTGATATTTTTTTTTGGTCCTAAAGTCACATTTAGTGAATATGACAATGACAAATTCAAAAGTTTAGGGTCAGTAAAATGTTTTGAAAACTGCTATACATTTTGTAGGATTCTTTTATTAAGAGAAAGTTAAAAAGAACAGCATGTATTTGAAATAGAAAAAACTTTAACATTATAAATGTTGTTACTGTCACTTTTGATCAATTTAATTCAACATTGCTAAATAAGTGTCTTAATTCTTATAAATAAATAAAAACTTTTAAATGGTATTCCGTTTCCTTCAAGTTCACACAGATGTCCTACAGGCAACCACAGATGTAGTTTGTCACATTAACTATGAACATGATCCACTAACATTTCATAACTAGAAAGTGTCAGAATACTTATAATTTTCAACAGTATATCTATTGTTTTTTTATTAAAACCTAGCAAACTCTCTTTAAAAGTGCACTTGTGCTATTCTTCTTTCAAATAAAAGCCACTTGATATCATATTTTGATACATTGCAAAGAAATTCATACATTATTAACTGTGGCTTATGTCTAATATATTCTGTGGCCACTCTGTGTTTTTCATGGCTGTTTGATGGTCATGCATTTTAATGAGCATGAATTTTCTTTGAATTTCACTCCTGTACACATGCACACACATACATGTGTAGAAAAATGCTTTTTTTCCAGAGAGCCTCAGGGCAGAATTCCCAGCAAAAGTTAACAGGCAAATTCCAAGTCCAGGCTGAATGAAATTCCCATGTCATGTCGTGTTCTCTACTAGTCGTCTAACCATCCCCCTCCTTCTGCTTCTTTTCCAGACTCCCTCCCTCCCTCCCTCTCTCCAGAGTTCCATTCTGACTCGTCTGTGTCTGTCAATGTGGTGAATATTTCTGCCTCCTGCCTTCTCCGTGTCACATTCCAGCTTCCAGGGCACAGCGTCCTCCTGACATGGGTTATAAAGAGAAGCACAGCTCCAGTATGCATCCGCATATGGCGTTATTATCACCTTTTACCTCCAGTGACTTTTTTGAACTGTTTTGAATAGGCAAACAGACTCTCTAGGAGAATTTACCTTTCCTTTTTCTTCCTTCCTTCTTTGAGTTTTTTTTTCCTACTTGAATGCAATCTCACTTACACAGAAAGCTCACTTATAAACAGTGGAATACTCAAGTAAAACAGTGTTTTACGGCTTCAGCTCAGATGTGTGTGCATGGACAAGAAAAAGGACAGAATACATTGGGTGAGTTTGAGTGCAACTGAATTATGATCATGTTGTCATTATGATTGTGCATTTACAGTTACTCATTAAACTAAATGAAATGAGTTACACTTATTAAATAAATATATATTATTATATATTTTTATATATAATATTATATTATATAATATATAATTTTAATACAAATATTATATTATATTATATTATATTATATTTTATTTTATATTAAAAGCTGCTTCATAGGTCCTTTACTGCCCAGTTGCTTTAAAGTTTTTAATAACCCAGTTTTCACAAGTGGAATGTCAATTGTGTATTGACTACAACTGTAATATTAATATATATGAATATAAAAAAGTGAGGTTCTCCTCAACACAATTCAATGCATTTGATTGCATTTCTCCTGCCTCTTGCCATATATACAGATATGATATAAATCTAGTAATCTACCGTATTAATATTTGCCATAATGTGGCTGAGAGCTCACTAGGAAGATGATTTATGGAAGATGTAATTGCACAACACACCAATGTCCTAACTGCAGATGTTTTTTTTTTTTTTGGGGATAAAATAGTCATCTCAATTGCAAAGTGCCAGATTATCTATATTCACAGGTGTATATTAGACTGAAAGTCAGTTCATCAGACTCAGGTGGGGGGTTTGTGAGTGAGCGCCATGTTGAAGTTGAAAGGGAACACCTTTGCTCTCTGTGTTAAATAAAAGCTGTTCAATGACTCTCAGGGGTTCTGGACTCTGTTTGAACAACAGCACGCTTGCAGGATTTCCTTTAACACTTCACATTAGATTGATGTCTTTCTCTGCTCAGGAGGGCCGAACAGGGTCAACATTGTCCCTCGAGCACAACCAGACACCCACTGAGACTGAAACAAAACCTAAATGTTGATTATGGCTGTTTGTAGACACTTTGTAGAATTACCTAAACAATTAAAGCAAGTTTTGGGTATTTTTTGTGGATTTTTGATTAACACTTTACAATAAGGTTCAGCTCAGTACCATTAGTTAACACATAATGTATCACGCATTAACAATAAACAGCATCACTTATTAATCTAGGCTAATGTACAAACATAATATTGTTGATTGTTAATTCATGAGTGTTCATAGTACATTAGCCAGTACTAATTTCTACACCGTGAAATGTTAAAGTGTCCCTATTATGGGTAATGAAACTTCATATTTTGGTTTTGGGAGTCCCCAACAACAGGTTGAGATGCATGCAAGGTCAAAAAACTCTTTCATTGTCTTATAATATGCATTTATTTTTACCTTACTTGCTCAATGACTCCCAAACGATTCGCTCAACTATTCATTTTTCCAAACCCCTCCTTTGCATGACGCTAATCTGCAGTGATTGGTCCGATTGGTCTCATTTTCATTTCATCATGCCTGTAATGCCTGATAAAGCAGCGTTTGTGAGCTCAGTGCTGCTTTGTGTACAGCTGTTACCAGGGAAACATTCTTTTTCATTCAGCCCAATGCGAAAAGACCAACAAGTGGGCGGGCAATATGCTAATGTTTCATGTTGACGTCAAAATAAAACGGCTTGGGATTCGTTTTAAAAATGACTCGTTTCAATGATTCAGAGTCGACTCTTTCTTTTGAGAGACAATAACTTTACACGGTGCACTTTCAGATTTAAAACTTTGCAGGATGTTTTCATTCACTTAGAGCTGTGTTACACACTGCATGAAAGGTAATTTTCAAAAATCCATAATAGGATCCATAATCCAAATCCATAACAGAAATTAAACTGCTGTAGTAAAAGTAATTTAATTTTCAGCTACTAAATTAACATACTGAATCTAATTGCAAAATGTTGATACTCTTAATTAGTATTTAGACAGAAATTGCGTGTAAACATGTAAACACACACAACTGCAGGCCCAGATACCTCAATTAGGATGTTTAGCATAATAATTTGAGCTAACAGAAGATTCTCTGTGCTGGTCACCGGAGTCAATGGAGAGGAAGTCATTCCTCCTATTCTATACCTCTATCCTCAAAAACACAAAGACCTCAATGTCTAAACCATAATTGAACTATTAGCTAATAGCTACCTAGCCAATTGTTAGAATGTGATGTCCTTGTGGCCACGGACCTCATGACTAGAAACAATAATTTCACTCACCTTTAGAGTCTGCCTGCTGTCGCCTGCTCTGGTTCTCAAGGGTCTCCAATAGAAGGACCAGATGTTGGCAGGACTTCCTGCCACTCTAGTGGTCTCAGACAGCTGATTTGTGTCAGCTCCTGTCCCGCTCCTAGAGCAGTAACCGTGGGGCCAGTGGCCCTGAACACACACTGGGCGGCATTGTTCAGTGAAACAGGCTGGACACACAGGATTCAAACAGGTCTGAGTTGAAGTAAGTGTAGTGACCAGTGACTTAAAACTGAATGGTCATGTTGTTCCAGACCTGTATGACTTTCGTTCTCCTGTAGAAACACAAATGGAGATATTTAGTAGAATGTTCTTGCTGCTCTTTTCTGTTCATTGAAAAAATACAGTAAATATAGGGCCCGTCCAGATCCATAAAAGATAAAAAGCACTGTATAATTCCTATAAAAGTATTTGAAAAGTAGTTTGTGTCACAATGAATAACATTTTATCACCAGCATGTTTTTAGATATTTCTTGTTGTCTGTTTATTATGCTCCGTTTCATGCTTTTTTTTTTCCATGTTTTAGCTGTCCTCCAAACTTAATTTAATCTTTTCCCTGTTGGTTTGGCTGGTTGAAGTCACTATGCACCATTATAATGGAATTCAACAAAGTGGAAAAAGCCTTCTGTCAGTATGAATCAGGCTCAATAATACACAAGACTCTGGCAGCGAGCATGTGGTATTTTATGAGCTCCTATGCGATTAAACTCAAGGATTTGCCTATGTTTTGTATGAGATATGTGTTTTATGCCGCACTATGGCCGGCCTATCGCATGCCTTCATGATTCAGCATACAGCAGCTCTGCCAATGGGCTGCAGTTAAGCAATTAAAAAGAAAACAAGAACAAGTGGCTATGGTTAAAACGAAAAACGCAAGAAGCAAACTAAAAACAATGGGCCTTTGTGTTATCTATTTTAAGGTTTACGTCATTTTAAAACAAGCCTGCCTCAAAAATTCAATGCATTGCTTATCATTTTCAAATGTTTCAAAAGTCTTAAGGTCTTTGCACATTGAGTCTGAAATTCTCATCAGAATTTTTGCACGTTAAAAAATAAATATGACCACACGTTGTGCACGTTTACACACTGCCTCTGAAACGTTCGTACGTCATAATAAAAAAAAAAAAAAAAAAATCGTATCAGGTTCGATTTTCTGCATTTTCGTATCTGTAGCAAGCATTTTGATAGGAAAAGATGACGAATATGAAAAATTTCGGACTCAGTGTGCAAAGACCTTTACTCTATGACAATAAAAAACCATTCACATGCACAGAATGTGTTTTTGCATTCCACTGCACAACCTTCCATTGTTTTATGTAAACATCGACTAAATATGCGTAAGACAAACTAAACTTCTTAAAAAAAGTATCTCTAGATTTGAAGAATGTACTGGTTGGAGGTGCAACATGTCTACTACACCACAAAACAACTACACTATGCATCAAAGCGAATGTTCAAATGTGTTGTTGAAATCAGCACACATGCAACGAGCACCTCAGAAACAGAAAAATACAACTCTTTACTGTTGACAACTTGATGCACTGCGAAGTGACACATCTAGTGTAGACAGACAGCTTTGTTGATCATAATGGGTTTTATTTGCTTTTGACAGGACATGCAGCTTGTGTGAAGTCAGCACGCCACATTACAATTCTGAAGGCATTTCATAGCTTCAGACCTCATTAATTATAGTAGTTAAAATAGTTCAAAACTTCACTTAATTATGTGTTCTGTGAAAGAAATTCATATGGGTTTGGAAGATGTGATGTGAGTAAATAATAAAAGAATTTTAATTTTATAGACACTAACCCTTAATAAGTCTTTCATGAGCTTGTGTGGTGAACAAGTTCAGCATAATAAGACCCCAAATGCTTTTAACAGTCCTGTGGCAGTCAGGAAGTCTAATCTGCATTAGAAACTGATCATAGTTTCTGTTCAAGCTTGATCTTGCATAAATATGGTAATACTTAGCATCTGTCCACACAGACAGTTTCTTTCCTAGTGAAACAGATTGGTTAATGTCTGATGTTAACAGAGCTGACTCTTTGACCTATAATTATGAAGAAGCTAATTGTTTAATTCTGAGCCAGGTGTACGTCGCCTCTAGCAGATCAACTGTGCAGGCAACAGTTCAGCTGTTCGCTACTAACCACAATGGCTTCCTTTTCTTTCAGAACTGAAGATTATTTTACACGCAGTGTAGCAAGTGACTTCAGCCAGTTGTTTTAATTTGTTGGGGTTCTCTTGAAGATTAACCAATATTTTTTGGGAGGCAACTAACACAAATGCAGAGTATATGATTTTTCTAAGATGGAAATAAAATTGCAAATGAAATAAATGATCAAGTGTCCTTCATAATCGTCAAATAGGCCTCTCAGGTACCTGATCAAAGACGATACTGTGTACCATGTGCGCTACGATGGTAAGAGGACTGGCTGAATGTTTGTTTGTTTATCCTGTGGGGTCTGCTCTAAATGTGTGTGCATGCGCTTCAATGTTCATGTGATCTGTCAATAAGAACATAATCTGGCCTCCAGCTTACTTACGTGGTAAAGCTAGGTCTGTGTTCTCAGAGACAGGACTTTTGTGAAGGACAGTGGAATGGTATGAAGCTTACAAGGTATACATTATTACTTTAGTATAGAGCCCTGCACATGACATGCAGACAAAAATATATTTATTGTGGCCACAAATTTAGATAATAAATTTAATATTTAAATATTTAAAAAATAAATTTAGAATTTATTCCCTCGTATTATTAATTCACTCCCTACCTTTAGTTAAATCATGGCCACAGATGAAGAATTCATCAGACAATTTATTAATTGGTTCTCTAGATCTTTTTAGT